GGCTTTCTTTGTGGCATATCAGTTTTAGAATTTAAAAAATAGTAAGTAAAAGAAAGAAATAAGTTTTTAAAAATCACAAATCAAGACTAGTCAGCTGACAGCCCGAATACCTGGGTTTGGGAATAGATTCTGGTATCTTGGTTCTGGGAGAGGGTATGCTGAGCGTGCCATGACTCAGAATGATGGGTAGGTGAAAATCCTCTGTCCTCAGCCACTCTGAAGTCTGGGGCCACCCGCTGCCATAAATCAATCAATCAGTCAATCAATCAATCATTCATTTCAATGAGGTATTTTGCTACAGTGACATAGAAATACGGGATCTAGGCTACACTTTTTTTTGGCACAGCTATAACAATTTTAAATTACAGTCAGAAACGAATCATATTGCTACAGGTGATCATTAACCCTATGGATACCATGATGTATAATAAAAAATGCACATGTCTGACCAATATTTTAAATTATTGTGATTTGTGAGTCAACTAGCAGTGAGGAAAAGTAGCTCCATCTAGACCAGTGGTTCTCAACCTGTGGGTCCCCAGGTGTTTTGGCCTACAACTCCCAGGAATCTCAGCCAGTTTACCAGCTGTTAGGATTTCTGGGAGTTGAGTTGAAGGCCAAAACATCTGGGGACCAACAGGTTGAGGACCACTGCTTTAGACTTCAACATGGCAGCTGATGTCTCTGTGTTGTTTCCATGTGTCTTGAATAACATGCAAAGTCCTTTATCCATGTCATCATCATAATCATCATCATCGGCTATCACTTGTGGCCGAGTATGATTAACCATGTAATTTTTCAATAAATATAGCTGCTATACATAGCAAATGATGTACCAGCCAGGCTGTTTTATATGGTAACTACATCCATTAAGAAATGACTTTAGTGGTATGACTCCAAGATGGTAGCAGATGCGTAAGTAGCAACAACCACACTACTGGGGTGGGGGAAGGCAGCAGTGAGAGCAAGCTCAAACAGGGGAGTAAAATACAAAAAAAAAAATATTTCTACAGGGTGCAAGTTTAATTGAAGTCATGCATTGCCCACTTTTGGGTAAGGTGGTTTCACCCCAGCTCCAGAACTTGGATAAAAATGACCATTTTCTACATTCTTATCACTTTGGATCCAGGATCTCTTTTAGTACTAGGATTGCCTTAGTTGTCTTGGTACTCTGTCAACAGCTCTATCAGCTGCTTTTGAGCATTCCAGCCTTTTGGGTTGATCATAGCAATGCATTTTGGTGATTTTATTTATATGTTGGACAGAAATCTCAGGGAGCTGAAAGAGACTCCTGTCCCGTCCTGTCGACTGCTTCAAGGTTCAATCATATCTCCTATTATTTAAAAACTGGATGAGTACAGTGAGTATAACTACATGGAAGAGCATAACTTTTTGTCTAAAAGTGTCCAGAAGGAAATTATGAGAGTGCTGAGTCATATTCAGTGATGGCTTAGATGAGGATGAATACAATATGTTCCAAGGAAAAGGGAGTGATAAGTCAAAATGAATGGTTCTACCCCATAAATAACAGATGGCAACTGGGGTTAGAATTGTTTCTTTTTTAAACCTCCTTAGGTTGGTATACTGCATATGACTGCTTCTGGAGAAAGACAATTGGGGCATAATTATACAATGCCTTCACCGTGTCTAGATTGGATTGCTATGGCATTACCTACACGGAGATACAACTGAAAACTATTTAGCAACTTCATGTGGTTCAAAATATGGAGATAGAAGCTGGTGGGAACATTTTATATTTGTGCTAAAAAAACAGCAATGTGGGGATAATGGGGATCTAAGCTTAGTGAAAGCAAGGAACATGAAAGGGGAATGGTGCAGAAAAGAAGTAACCCAAGAAATAGAATAGCACCAGGGATCATCAAAATAATGAAAAGGTTCAGCAAGATGGGTTTTCAATTTCATTATTCTGCTCACCTGCATTGAATGTAATGCTTTTAAAACACATGCTGAAAAGAGAAAATATTCTATATAGTTTTCTTTAAAAAATATTCACTCAAAATCACTAACTTGTTTGAAAGTGACAGTTAATGATGTGCCAGTCACAAATAAGTGGCATCTAGTCAAGATTACAGTCCAAATTATTTTTTTCACCACATACATTTTTCTCTTAACCATCTTAGTCTCATTCTGTCCACATCTGATATGGAGATATCATCATCAGTGTGGCAAATGTTCTGTCTTCTGTCTCACTTTGAGAACATTATCTAAAGCTATAACTATTCATCCCAATGAGAAGCAAACACATACTTTGGTTTGCCTGGAGTAAAACTATGGGTATTAAAAGAAAAACTGGAGTTGGAATTAACACAAATCAAAACATAAAAACTTAAAAATTAACTTGCTGAAGACATGACTACTGAGAACTAAGTTCTATTAAGTCTAATGTTGGGTATTGGTAGACTTTCTGAACTTAAAGGTTACATGCAGCTATCGGGACTAATAGCTTTAGATAAAACCAGTGAAATGTCAAACCCTTTTAGAAGCTATTATATCTTGTGCTAGTCAATTCAGCAAGTTAATTATGCATTGCTTGAAGAAAAACCTTCCTTGCTTTTTGCTTTGATCATGTCCTCAATCTACTTCACTGGATGAGCCATAGTGTTGCATTAGATTGTAACATGGATTTATCTCTCTTCACAACATCTTAACGTTTGCCATTTTAGAAGCCTCTTCATACTAAATGATTGCCTTCCCTTTCTCACCTGAAGGCAACAGTTAATCTAACTTCTCTGGATTATCTTCCATGTTCTTTTTGAAACAAGTATGACAGTATCTATTATAGAAAGAGAACTGCATATATGTCCACCACTGCTATATACTATTATGGTATATATATAAGTTATGTTAACTTCTCTTTCAATAACTTCTGAAACTGACTTTCTTCTTTCCTTGCAGCAGTGATTGGTAACCACCAGTAGTGTTTCCCTATTGACTTTAATTTAACAAGAATTTCCATCTACTAAATAAGGAGAAAGACTTCATGCTGTCAGGAATTTGCTATGGAGACTTTTGGGAGGTGAGTGATGGTTGCAGTGAGGAGACATAATCAGCAGAAATGGTCTCTTCCTTAGTTTTACTGATGGAAGGGTTTGCTGGGTCAAAGAAAATCATGGAAACTACTGAGTTGGTGTTTTCAGTGAGTTTATTACTATGACATCAAAATCTCTTTTTAAAGCAGTTACAGTTAAATTAGAACAAGAAGTGAATGTTATACCTTATTTAAATGAAACTGTATTTGTCAGCCTCTGTTTTTGATCATTTAGCCACCTTGACAGTTTTCTTTTTTGAGTGGAATATTGAGTGATGGGATAATTTAACACAAGAACAATCACAATAGACAAATAAAATCTTCAGATCTTGGACAGCATTTTAAGTATTTTTTGTTTTGCGTAATTCTCTCACCCATAGTAGCATTTACTTCCTGTATTTTTTTTCTGACTGGTGTAATCTCACTTCCAGAAGTTCTCCAACACAACATCAGCAAGCTCAAACAGCACGCTTGCTCTCTAGTGTTGACAATGAGTGGGAGAAGATATGGTACTGATAATGAAAATTTCAGTTTTCTACTGTGTTGCTTTATATATTACAAAAAAAGTGGACAATGTCTCCAGTTGGTTTGTTTTCCTCTGATAGTATCTATTTACAGAAAAAGCCCATCTTGGATAACAGTTCAATACCTTAAAATATGCCAATACAGCATAGAAGCACAATAACCTCTCTAGTGGTGGACATTATTTCTAAAATATATGTATTTAAAATTCCCTTATTTACAAACACTATTAGAACACATAGTTTAAAGAAAAGTAATGGCATGAATCAATTTCTTAGTTTCTAGATTAAGCCCAGAGAATCCATAGATTTTACATAAGTGTTTACTTATTTCACAGTTGACTGAATGTATCCACTTAAGTCAAGACTAGACTGAATTTGAGCGGGTGTTCTGCTTTGTGGGTTACAACTCAGTATTAAGATACAGGATTTAATATGCAGCAAAGCAACAGCCACATTGCTCTGTTTTAATTCTCTCTTTGGAAAACTGGGGTGGGGTCCAGAAAGGTCACCATCACCGGGAACCTGAAGGTTCATACTTGTTGGCACAATGGGTTAAACCCTTGTGCTAGTAGGACCGCTGACCGAAAGGTCAGTGGTTTGAATCTAGGGAGTGGGGTGAGCTCCCATCTGTTAGCTCCAGCTTCTCATCCAAAGACATGATAGAAGCCTCTCACAGGATGGTGAAACATCTGGGTGTCCCCTGGGTAACATCCTTGAAGATGGCCAATTCTCTCACACCAGAAGCAACTTGCAGTTTCTCAAATTGCTCCTGACATGAAAAATATATATATATTTGAAAGCAGGTCCTGCATCAATACAAACTTTGGTGATTATTCTGATTGACTGTGGTAAAAGCTTATTTTGTTTATATCCAGCTAGCCAGCCCATGTTTTAGGAAACCTTGTCAAGCTAAAAATAATAGATCTAAGCCAGGATGATATTTAATTTAGGACAAAATTTTAATGAGTGATAAGTCATTAGAAATATTAATACCTTTGGCCAGTTTACAGGTTGTACAGACTAATGGAAAGCTGCTTATTAAATAAGTCTATTCACTATGCATCCACAACAAAGGCTGTTTTTTTCTGTGTCAGTTCTATGTGTGCTTTAACAAAACCCCTGTAAGCATTATGAATCTCTGAAAGGAGATTTAAAATGTGGTTCTTTTTTGTATTTATTTTTCAATAAAACCAAGGACAAGCACTTGAACATGGTGAAAATATGCTTCTCCAACCAAAACCTAAGTTGTATTCCAAAGAAATGGTGTCCCTGATTTGTGTGCTTTTACGTTGGACAGGTAAGGCAGAAACTTGTACAACAAACCTACATTTCAAATACTAGGTCACTAACCTTTACGCTTAAACTCACCCCTGCCTGGAGAGATGCTAATTTTAAGAATGGTAGAACAGTAATTAAATATATCTTACCTTCTTGTATAGACTCCTCAGGTCTCTGTACTGCCACATGCTATTTAAGACCTGAGATGCTGCCTTCACTACTTTTGGTGAATGTCTGTTTGGGAAACAAGGGGGAAATAATAATAATATTTAAGCAAAAAGCTCAAGAAACAGTTTTATATTCATCAGTTTTATCAGAACTTTAGGAGATGTGTGTTCAGCTATGCACGAGAGTTGAACCTGTCGTGGCTAACAGACTTTTTCATCATCCTTTTTAATTCTTGAGTACCACTTCAGTGTTAGAAGCAGGGTGAAAAGGTGAACAATTTTAGTAGACTGACTGAAAGGTTAAGAGTGTTCATTAAGAGCAAAATGGTACCCCAGTGATTTGGAAAGGAAAAACAAAATAAAACCCCACAGCTCTTGAGGGTAGAAGGTCAATAATGCACAAACTACAGGAAATCAAATTAAATTCATTTGGAAGTAGATTAATTTTTTGCCAGCTATGCTCTCAGAACACATGCATACATGCATACACATTCTCTATATGGCATCTTGAGACCCTGGGTTCATTCACATGAAACAACAATAGAAACTGAAGACTTTCTGTATATATTTCAGATTTCATTATTAATGTCAAAAATACGTAGTATGATTTTACATCGGCTTTGTGCTAAATTAGAACAGTAAAGACAAATATCACCTCACTACCTCTGAGGATGCTTGCCATAGATGCAGGTGAAATGTCAGGAGAAATGCCTCTAGAACATGGCCATATAGCCTGAAAAAAACTACAACAACCCAGTGATTCCGGCCATGAAAGCCTTCGACAATAAATATCACTTAGGTAAAATAAACATTAAATATTAAATAACCTTAACTTCCATGATTGCTTTGGAATCCTAAGGTTTTTTTTTTATTTGGAGAGACACTAGAGCACTCTGGCTAATTATTCGAAATGTCCCTCTTTACATTGTAAATCTCTGGATTCCTCAAAACATTGCCTTAACAGTTAAAAGTGGAATGTAGTTCTGTAAATGTGCAGTGCAAATGGGACCTTGTCATGGCATGTCTTAGGCAACAGGACTCAATAATACCCATAAAGAATTGGTTAAAAGAGGAATTTCACTGAACACATGCAAGAAATAAAATATACATTGGGGAATAGCAAATACTATGGTGGAGCATTATCAGTGTGAAACAACACACATAAAACTGAGATAGCCATCTAACCGGGAGGTTTCTTCATGATAGGGAAAAACTGGTGCAATTGAGCAAACTTGTAAGACTAAGGCCCTTCTACACTGCCATATAAAATCCAGATTATCTGCTTTGAGCTGGATTATATGAGTCTACAATGACATTTAGCACTGCTAGATTATATGAGTCTTGCGGTGTAGACTCATATAATCCAGTTCAAGGCAGATAATGTGAGTCATCTGCTTTGATAATCTGGATTATAAGGCAGTGTAGAAGGATTGGGGTTAAGTGATCAGAAGATTAGGGACTGCCAAAATGAGACAAAAGGCTTAAAAAAGAGATGACAATATAATTATTTTGTTAACTGCACTGCACATACAATGATGAAAAGTGGTCAGATGAACTGCAATGTGTAGGGAAAGTTCTCTTCCAAAGACATGTTTTTGGAATGACATCAAATTACCCCTATTTGGTTTTCCTGGCACTTCCAGGATAAAAAGTTGGAAGTGTAGTGCCACTTTGCTCCTTGTTGAAGCAGTGCAAAGAGAATAAAATACTAAGTTCGCTAATCCAGAATAAAATAATGAAATTATCTGGTCAAAATCCTGATGTGGAATGCTGTTGAAAGAGTGATTTCAGCTTGAAAAGGACCAAACCCTGGCCCCAAATTGTGATCCAGCAAAAGCAGACATGAGAAACTTTCTTCCTAGAATTCTTGGCTGAAGATGAAAGCATCTGCTCAACGAACTACCAGTGGAATCTGGATCTTTAAAGGGGATTTTTTTTTGGTGGGAAAGGACCTTTTCAGGTCAGGAAGTTTCTCTAGAGCAGTAGTTCCCAACCTTTGGTCCTTCAGTTGTTTTGGACATCAACTTCCAGAAATCTCAGCCAGTTTACTAGCACATCTACTAGCACATCTACTGTGCTCCCTGACTTTCCTTCTACGCTGCAGAGACACAGATACCATCCCACAATTTCTCGCAGCCAAAAGGACTTTCAAAACACCACAGGCTCACCGGATCTATGACCGCCTGGAACGCAACCTCTTAAGAGAGAGAATCCACACCATCCGCAAAGAACTCGCAAACACAGACAAGGAAAATTAAAACAGCAGAGAGAAAAACAGGCAGGGACATCTAATCACCTTTCAAGAAGAGTTTGCTCCAGGCACTGTCAGCCCATTGTATGCTAATCAAGGTGGTCAGTTGAAAAGATTCACACCTAGCCCAATTTACAAAAGCCTTTTTTCCCAGCCCCAGCAGACCTCTGAGGAAGCTTGCCATAGATGCAGGCGAAACGTCAGGAGAAATGCCTCTAGAACATGGCCATATAGCCCGAAAAAACCCACAAGAACTGAGTGATTCCGGCCATGAAAGCCTTCGACAATACATTGAACATTTTTACGGGGAGAAACTGTTCCAAGACACACGGAAATTGGAGAAACTAAGGACCAGGAAAGCACATCTACTGTGCTCCCTGACTTTCCTTCTACGCTGCAGAGACACAGATACCATCCCACAATTCCTCGCAGCCAAAAGGACTTTCAAAACACCACAGGCTCACTGGATCTATGACCGCCTGGAACGCAACCTCTTAAGAGAGAGAATCCACACCATCTGCAAAGAACTCGCAAACACAGACAAGGCTAAAATTAAAACAGCAGAGAGAAAAACAGGCAGGGACATCTAATCACCTTTCAAGAAGAGTTTGCTCCAGGCACTGTCAGCCCATTGTATGCTAATCAAGGTGGTCAGTTGAAAAGATTCACACCTAGCCCAACTTATATATAAACCCCTTTTTCCCAGCTCCAGCAGACCTCTGAGGAAGCTTGCCACAGATGCAGGCGAAACGTCAGGAGAAATGCCTCTAGAACATGGCCATATAGCCCGAAAAAACCCACAAGAACTGAGTGATTCCGGCCATGAAAGCCTTCGACAATACATTGAACATTTTTACGGGGAGAAACTGTTCCAAGACACACGGAAATTGGAGAAACTAAGGACCAGGAAAGCACATCTACTGTGCTCCCTGACTTTCCTTCTACGCTGCAGAGACACAGATACCATCCCACAATTCCTCGCAGCCAAAAGGACTTTCAAAACACCACAGGCTCACTGGATCTATGACCGCCTGGAACGCAACCTCTTAAGAGAGAGAATCCACACCATCTGCAAAGAACTCGCAAACACAGACAAGGCTAAAATTAAAACAGCAGAGAGAAAAACAGGCAGGGACATCTAATCACCTTTCAAGAAGAGTTTGCTCCAGGCACAGTCAGCCCATTGTATGCTAATCAAGGTGGTCAGTTGAAAAGATTCACACCTAGCCCACTTCCACAGATATATAAACCCCTTTTTCCCAGCTCCAGCAGACCTCACCTCTGAGGATGCTTGCCATAGATGCAGGCGAAACGTCAGGAGAAATGCCTCTAGAACATGGCCATATAGCCCGAAAAAACCCACAAGAACTGAGTTTACTAGCTGTTTGGAATTGTGGGATCTGAAGTCCAAAACATCTGGAGGACCAAAGGTTGGGAACCACTGCTCTAGAGCAAAGGACTCTGCAAAAGAAAGAGGATCTATCTGGAAGACATCACTCAAGTGTATGCTTAATGATAGGGAGTAATGTTTCAGACAAACAGAGACTTAAGAAAAACATCATAGAGTTTTTGACCAGGCTTATTTGACTGAGAAATGAAATTCCGGTCATATTTTATCAGAGTGTGCTATCAAACATATCACTTTTGTTCAGAGATGCTCTTCTCTATCAGTGCAATTTCCTGTCCATACTGGATTGATTTGCAAGTAAAGGATATCGTACCATGAGAAAAAGAACACCTAGAATGAAAGCATTCAGTTCTGTCCAATGATTTAATTATTAATCTTGGGACAATGAATGGTGACAGATAACAAAATTATATTCTTTCAGAGATTTAATGCAAGATTTTAACTAGAGAAGCCTTTTCAGCTAGCCATGCCCTCTCAAGTGGTTCCAGGTAAATGTATACACAACACACATATATAGATCTGGACTTTGCTAGGGACACCGACAAATGCAGACAGACTGAAACGAATGTTACTTTTTTCAAAGTTTTACATAGGTTGAAGAGCGAGACAAGTAAATCATGGTCTGCATCTAAACTTGTGGCAGTGAAAGTCTTACTGTATTTCCACAATACTTCCCCACCATAGCACTAGTCTCCCCAAGGGGGTTCAGTGCAGGGCAATGAGCAGGACAACTCAATTAACTAATATGAATGCAAAACAATTTGTCTTCATGCTTAGTTGGTTACTTAAAACCAAATCAATGATCAGAAGAGGAAACAATAGACATAATAAACAATCTTCATTGAAAGCACTATGGAGCAATTTTTCTTTAATAAACATCATATAATGCAATTAAAAGTTCATAACGGTTGACAATTTAACTACCAACTGCCAACACTGTGAAAGAAGAAAAGGAAGAAAGATAATCATTGCAGCTTAACAGTTTCCTGTATTATTTTTCATAACATGAATGGAGCATAATAAGCATAGTACATTTTGAATAAAATGTGTGCTTCCTTCTACAATATTGAAAATATTAGCCACTTAAATCATAAACAGGATGTCTCGGATATGCACTAACTACTCCACTAGAGACTGTTCCATATGTTCTTGCTTCCCTCACTTATTTGTATCTTATCGCCGCCCTAGAAGAGGTTTTTGTCTTCTGTAAATCATTCAAAATTAGCCTGTCTTTTAAGCAGCAGAATAAAGCAAATATCCAGCGAAAGCTCATAATCCTTTATTTATTTTACATAACTCAGCATTAATTTCCAATATGGTATTATCCTACAGCACTTCCAATAAACAGGAAACTAATTTCCTCTGATATTTCCCCAACTCCTACTAAAATGACTCACTGGTGGTATTCATCCCTTAGAGACTCAGATTCCATCTAAACAAATCTTGTAAAAAAAACATTGTCTTAAGGTTAAAGTCAATGTCAGTGTTGAGTCCACATTTCCTCTGAGATGTTCTTTCTCAAGTCTCTTTCCCATTTTTCTTGATATTGGACAATGAATCTAAATCTCTGATACTTCCACACAAATGTTCCAAAAGTGTTATCTTTCAAAGGCTATGCTTTCTTTGCAGTTTGAGACACAAAATGAAAAAGGAGGCTGGCTTGCTTCCATACCAGCTTCAGTTTCCTCCTCTGCATTTCATTCATCTAGAATGGTGATAGTGAACTTTTGAGAGATTGAGTGCCCAAACTGAGGTGGAGTGAGGGTGAGCAAGGGGTAAGTGGGGTGGGGAGTGGGTGAGTAGGCAACAGGGCATGCGCCAGGAGAGAGGCCACTGCATGCCCCTTCTGGCAGACGTGCCATTGGTTTGCCACCACTGATCTAGAACTTCTGGGTGTCATCATCTCTAGGTTGCCCCAGAACCCTCACCGTTCCTTTAACCAACACAATTGTGAATACTGGCAATAAGTAGCTATGGTGACACCAAAGGGGATAGGTCCCACTTTCCCCCCTCTACCTGGTGTGTGGTATGCCAAGCAGACCTAGGAACTATAGCCTTTCCAAGGACTACTGCAAGGTCAGCTATATTTATTGTTGTCATCAGTTCAACAATAAATAAAGGAGAAGGATTTCAAACCATGCCAGAGAAGAATTTAAAGCTTAGAACATTTTTGTTCAATGTGTCAAATATTACATTCATCCTTATTTTTATTTGCTAGCCATATCTACATAACTAGAATCTGCTCACATTTGGGTAATATCTATTAATCCAGAAGATCGGTTTTCTGTATAACTTATTCCTGCATTACCTTCTCTTACTCAGAAATGCATTTTCCTTCCACAGTTTTATATCATCTAGCATACATGTGTCAAATGAAAAGCCCATGGGCTGAATTCAGACTGCCACATCATTTTATGTAGCCCGCAAAACTTTTAATGCCAGGGCAACATAGTTACATTTATACAGTCTTACAATCACAAACAGCCCTTTGAAGGCAACAATAAGGCTAATGCGGCCCTCGGTGAAAATGAGTTTGACACCCATGATCTAGCATGCTTTTATTTCCTGTCTTTTAATTAAAGTTGCCAGACCCACACGTATTTAAACCAAAACAAACATATATTGTCGAAGGCTTTCATGGCTGGAATCACTGGGTTGTTGTAAGTTTTTCAGGTTGTACGGCCATGTTCTAGAAGCATTCTTTGTAGACATTTCGCCTGCATCTGTGGCAAGCATCCTCAGAGATCGTCATCTGTCAAGTTTACTAATACATGATAACCTCACAACCTCTGAGGATGCTTGCCACAGATGCAGGCAAAACGTCAAGAGAGAATGCTTCTAGAACATGGCCATACAACCCAAAAACCTACAACAACCCAACAAGCATATAGTTTGGATTGGATTTAGGGGGAGACATTGGAGAAAGAATGAAGTTTGATACCACTTGAGGTTTTTACAAGGTCTTTCATATTCTCTGCTAAAAGAGTGCTGGTGACTCACCAAATTCCAAACCCCAGAATTCTATAGTATTGAGCTATGGCAGTTAAAGTGGTGTCAAACTACAGTAATTCTATAGTGCAGACACACCCTTGGTAACCAACAAAATGTGGGCTACTACAGTACCACACCTGATCAACTATTCTCTTCGTTGTGTTTTAATTTTAGGGGTTTTTTTTTTTGCTTAATACAAATATGATATGGGGAAATTATAGCATGTTAACATCATACTGCATTTCTCAGTATTTGAAATATTTGAAATTATTTTCTTAATAACATGGATATAAGGTGTTTCTGTTTTTACATTTTTAAAATCAGTAGCTACCCTACATTTCATCCAATAATTAATTCAGTAATGGTATTTGAACTATCATACAAATTCTCTTTTATGTGTCTCTGGTAGGAACGGTTTCTTAGGGAAAAGAGACAACCACACTGTAAGTATATAAGGATGCACTTTCCAAGCATAGCCAATGCTGATACGTCAAGACATAAGCTTTTGCGGGCAGATAAATATGCCTCAAATGTCAATAATGTCTACAAGCATCAGATACATTGATGTGAGATTATCCATCTACTGTCCCCCAACCTTCCCTCATCATCTGTCAAGCTTACTAATACATGATAAACTACGGAATTAAAGGAAATCATTAGAGCAGACAATTCAATTATAGCTGATAGGCATGAGATGATTTGCAAAAACGTACTTGTCTCCTTTACTCTTGGAAATGCCAACAAGCTTTTCGATTCCTCCTGCATCCCGTAAGGCCTTGGCATTTTCCATGTTTTTTGTGATGACTTCATGCAAGGTGCAACAAATGGCAGTAACAGTATCATCAGACATGGCCTTGCTTCCTGAATTGTTACTGTTATTACCTCCTGGAAGCCGGTGGACCAGGTCCCGCATGGCATACTTGCCTTTTGGAAAGAAAAAAGAAGAAGAAAGAGGAATTATATTTAAAGATGAACAAATGAAGAGGGAGATACAGGAAAGAAAAGCCATCATCTGACTTCATCTTGCAATTATTATTATTATTGTTGTTGTTGTTGTTGTTGTTAATATTTATACCCTGTTTTAACTCCCCCAAAGGGGACTCTCTCGAAGGGGGCTCAAATGCAAAATGGCATGAAGTTGGGTGATCTATTTTCAGTTTGATAATATTTTTAAACATACCTTCCTTATCAAGGATCATCTTTTAGCCTTTGACCACTAGTCTGGCAAATTCCCATTCCCCACAGTATCTTACACAATGTGCAATGCATGCAAGAGGAGTAACTACAATGTTTTCATATGCACACACTTAGAATGAATGCTTATTATGTCTTCTGTGCTTGAGTCCTTCATCAGATATTATTAAACCATAAAAAGATGAAATAGTGGGTCATATCCCATTGGTATCCTCACCCACTGGTATTCTTTGCTAAAGGAGGAACTACCTTCTTTAGCAGAGCTGAAAAGGAAATGGACTCTCCCCTTCCTTCAGCAGAGACCCCCCTCCCTCTTATTTCATGCTGTTATAAAGGTCCCTCTGTTTTCTAGAGTAGATCTGGAAAAGGAACAAGATGTTGCAGAGGGCTGGAGGAATTATATAAACATGCCCTCTCTTCTGGTGACATTAGCCTCCATTGGGTCAAATAGCCTTCTGTGAGTGGAGGCACACTAGTAAAATACAACCTGTAAAATAGAAAGTCACAAAGGTGAATGGAACGAGGAAGATTGTATAAATTACATATTCAAATGCCTTCTAATGGAAAGTATTTATAACGAAATTCGGCATAGCATCTGCAACACAATGAATGTGATAACTTTGAAAAGGACCATGTTTTCCCAGCTAGGAAATACAAATATCCAGCTTTGCAGTATTTATTTTATTTTTTAAATTTGAGCCTTAATTTTTATTTGAAAAGTGGTCACAATCCAAATATGAGTGTATAGATAGATGACCCTCTTTAATCTCATTTGCTGTATGAGCAGAAGTCTTCTATATTCAGATCTTCTTTGTCAGATTTGGAAAATGGGGAGAGAAAAACAACTTTGAGTCCCCTTTGGGGGAGATAAAGTGGGGTATAAATAAATATAATAATAGCCTTAATTTTTATTTGAATATGGTCACAATCCAACCACACTGTAAGTTGTGTAAAGATAGATGGCCCTCTTTAATCTCATTTGCTGTATAAGCAGAAAACTTCTGCATTCACATCTTCTTTGTCAGATGTGGAAAATGGGGAGAGAGAAACCACTTTGAGTCCCCTTTGGGGGAGATAAAGCGGGGTATAAATAAATATAATAATAATAGTAATAATAATAATGGCAGTAACATTAGAGTCAGTGATCTGGATCACTTCAAAGTAGCACATTCCAAACAACAACCAGAAATACTTAGTGCTGTGTGTACTTTTTCTCTAAAATAATTCAGATTTTTTTAAAAAAAAATGATGAGCATCAATTGTGGTAGAGTTCTATGGTGAAAATCATATAAATTAACTCATTACATCTGTTGATTTAGATAGAATACACTAAATTTTTCAATTGCAGAAACATATGCTGGACCGGTCTGTGTGTAATTATGATATACTGTAATCTCACATGGCCATCAATGTGGTGTTTTCCAAAAGTCAATGTGGTATCGTGATTACTTATTTTATTAATTAAATATGTCCCTAAATTTATAAAAGCTTTGACTTACTTTTAGTCACAACATTTCAAATTTCATTTCAATATTGCAAATTTCAGTATAATTATTGAGGGAGACAAGTTTGAAGGGGAGTATGAGATTTTATATTCATTGAAAGGGGACTCTGTTGATCTGCAAGTAAAGATATGTTGTCTGTAACTTATACTTGATGACTCAACACACATTAAAAGGATTTGAATGTGATTAAATTTAATACTGTGTAGCATCTAAGAAAGCTCTTTTATCTTCCTAGATTTATTCAAAAAGTGAGAATGGAGGAAATTAAAGATGTAATTTCAGGGTAGCTTTCATAGAACGAATGTGGTTGTTTGTACAGAGCAGATGCTACAGAATCAAGTTATCTGAGACTACAGTTATTTCAGCTTATTTCCAGAGGTCAGTCTCAATTTTGTATTGTCTCTCTTCCTATCCTTTAAGTTATTAAAATCTGCTACACCTAGGAAGAGGTGAGCAAAAAGTAATTGGGTTTCTGGATTAGAATCTATAGTATATTTTCCCAGCACAGCCTCCTTCCATGGTTGTCATGTTTCTGTCTAGATTAGAACTGGCAAAAAAGAACAAGAAGTGAAGGTGACACTGTCTTACACTTGTCTTTCGGATGAAACAGATAAACAAAAAGTTCTGTTTTCTTGACATATAGAAAAATTTGACAACTGTAGACAAACTGTGGCCAGAGTAGAGAAGATGCTGAGAGCCAGTGTTAGGAGCTGGTTTGAGTATTTAACTATGAGACTGGATACCAGGGTTCAAATCCCCACTCAGACATAGAAATCTAGTATAGTAAATGTGGGAAACCCTACTTGTTCAGCCTTAGAGGAAGGCAAATGCAAACCCCCTCTGAAGAAACATTGTTGAGAATTCTTTGAAATCAGATGTCTGAAACAACTTGAAGGACAAATAATATAAGAAACTATATTATTATGTCTCAAGGTCAAATCTGTACGTGACTGAGGCAGTTCTGCATACAAGTCACCACATGATTATCCCAGTTATACAAAAACAGATCACTGTGAACTGTTTTTAATACAAAAAAGGATATATAAGGGGTGCTCAAACTAACCTAAGATCTTTCCCATGCATTGGTTTTTGCTACAGTCAGCTTTGGAACTTGTTTAAATTTTTTATTTCGTATAAAAAATGGCCGCTATAGAGAATCAGGGATGAATACCAGGGGGCATCAGCAGTGTGCTCTTTATTTGTGTAGTCCTTTCACTGTTAAAACCAGTCTCTTCTCTATTTCCTTTTCTGTTTTCTGTTTCACCCATGTACTTGTGCTGCTTAATTTGAAAGCACAGACCTGAATTTGAGATGCAAGAGAAAAGCAGAGTGGGGAGATAGCACTAACATAGTGTTGGTGATAGGACTGAATATAACTAATCAATTCCATGGTGGATTTTTGCTCTGCTCTTCAGCTGAAAAAAGAAGCTCAGTAACAAGACTCAAAAGATCAAGTTAACTATCTAGAAAAAAATGGCACAAAAGGGGATTTGCCTACCCCACATTGGTAATTGGCTTGGGGTGGGATCACCTAAATAGGTTTCTCTGGCATGGGGATAGTCTTGGTATGCACCATTGTACCCGCCACCCTTTAGGGGGTGAAGGGTTGACTTCCATAACAATGGTTTTGCAGTAGGGAGGCTGAAAAAGGTGGCTAAACTTGAGGCTGGAATAAGGGTTCTCACTCTTGAAAAACTGTGAGGTTTGGGAGTGCCCTCAGGATGGCCTTCCAGGCAAGATTGGCCAAGGTGTGCGGCCAAAGAATTTTGGGTGGCCCTCGGGATCTATGGTGCTTGATCAAGTAAGTCTTCAGAGGTGGACAGAGGGAATGACACCTGGCCTAGAAACATTTCTCACTAGGTGGCTAATAACTCAAGAGATATTTCCACATAGGTTCATTCCCTTTAACGGAATTTCATTCACAGGTTCTTGCAAGAATTCTAGAAAATAAATAACTAAATAGGTCAGGAAATTGACCTTTAGACCCCTTTTCCTATGTTTGGTCTATTTCACGGTGCGAGTTCAATGGGAATTGTGGAAAGAATGAGATTTCTGAAAAGTTGCGTCAAGTGTAACTGAAACATGACTTGTGTGTGTGCCCTCCAAGATGTTGTTACATTCTACAACTCCTATAATCCCTCAATATTATGCTTAGCATTGGTTATGGCTCACAAGAGATGCAGTCCAATGGTATTTGGAGATCTACATGTTCCTTTATTACTGATCAAACATTTTGCATAATTTTGTAGGCTGATTCTAGCACATGCCTAATAAATATTTCCTTAATCTTGACAACTTATTTTGGAACCGCAATGACATTTCAGAGCCTGATATTTTAAACAGTCCTTCACTTCTAATTATTGGTAATCATGATGTAGGATCATGTATTCAATCAGAGGACACTTAATTTCATCTGAAATGTCAGTGTAGCAAACAATTGTTTAATGTACTATAGTTTTCAGCGGATTTCCTGTTCCATTCTGTGTTGCCTGGTAGAGGGCTAAGTGAAAACACACAAATGGGAAAAGGCTATTGTTATCTCTCCCTGACACTTTAATTTTTCTTTTGAGATATTGTCTTTATTATGGTAACAAATGGAATCTATGAACAAAGATCACAAACCCTTTGGACTTTCTATTAAAAGGACAGCTTGCACTTTTACAAAGTTAATAGTACAACAGTCAGTAGGTGACAAGAAAAGGTACTGCAAAATGGTTATGCTCACTATCATGGTCAGTGATCTGGAGACATTAAATAGATAGTGACTGCGGAATGTTTTGTATGAATCAGAGCAGAGGAGATTACGACATGCATTTCAAATACCATAAAGTAGTAATAGTAAAATACTTATTTAGCTCTATATGAAGTTGCAAAGGAGAAACCACAAAGGAAGCTGAAGAGTAAACCATTGGCCAAGGTGTGTAACACTTGCCGGCACAATTCCAACATCCCAAGATGGTTCAGTAAGAGATCAGAAGTTATGTGAAGAGAAGCTAAATAGTTCCACAGAAAAACACAGAAAGCCTCACAAATGGATTGAACAAGGACCCAAAGAGAACATTATTGAAATGTTCAAATAGCAATGTAAATTTTCATAAATTGTAATTCTCACAAGCAGCAATGAACCATTTTACCACTTCCCTCTTCACATTGAGATAGTAATAAAAAAGGTACAATTTTCAGAGCTTAATTGCAGTTTGAACTTATTCTGTGCTTTAAAAAATG